TCCCTCATAAGGTGCTAGGCACATGCAAAGAATGAAGGGAATCGGTCAACAGGATTCTGAAATACGACTCTGGACAGACTGACGCATGGACGGACGGACACACAGATGGACGGACAGACTCAGGAACTCACGGACGGTCAGGACATGTATCCTAACATGTATGATCTATGTACTAAGTTTGAATGAAAACTGACAAAGCATGTCCAAAATATGACATTTTCAAAAAACAAGATGGCTGCCAGTCGGCCATCTTTGATCCAATTGTGAAATAAATCGTCATGGACATGTATCCTAACATGTATAATCTATGTACCAAGTTTGAATGAAAACTGACAAAGCATGTCCAAAATACAACATTTCAAAAAACAAGATGGCTGCCAGTCTGCCATTTTGAATCGAATCGCTAAACCACTGCATGTGCATATGCAAAGGCACATGCAAATAATAAACGGAATTGGTCCAAGGGATTTTGAGATATGACTCCGGATGGACGCACAGACGCTCGGACGCACGGACACACGGAGACTGAATTATAAGTCCCCGTTTTCGGACTTCGTCCAAACGGGGACTAATAAATGCTGATTGTGTTGAATAATGGGCGTCGGGACCGTTTGGAGAAACCAACGGGGATCGATATTCCAAACAAATTATTGGGACACGGTCGGTAGACATTTCAAACAAATGAAATTATTAACGAAAGACGAGAATTTTCCAGATATTTACGAACATACTGTCACAACAAATATATGCAAAATTGACAAATACACAAAGAGATATAAGGTTTTATTTTAGCCTTAGAAATATTTTCTTTCACTCAGTCCATGCGTGGGACTTCTATTTAGCTTCATGGTCCTTCAGCTTGTGTTCTCCTTGGGGGAAATAACAATAATTATACAAATCGTAAACTCAACACAGTCAGGAAAAGAACCCGAACAACCATGTCGTACTTCTGTTGAAATACATTTTGTAGTAGTGCGTCACGTCAGAATATTGTTTAAAATAAAATAGTCAATCCCAGCCAAATCTAGGTCAAAGGGTCAAATTGCGTGCATATAATTATAGATAGTTAAAACAAAAAGTATTTGAACTTTTGACGGTTGTTCAACATCTATGCACGGTTACTAAACTAGTAACCGTGATCTATGAAAACCAGAAAATTGTTAGTAGTCTGAATTTTTGCACAGTCGAAAATAAAGCGCAAATTCAACAAGCGGTTGCAAAAGCGAGCGATTGAAAAGCGGAAGCGGGCGAGAGGTTGGGCGAAATGAGTTCTGTACTACTTTGTTTGATAAAGCGATGCTGATGCCACATTGTCGCCATAATGAGGCCACAATGAAGCGAAGCGATAACCGCCTAACTTTTTAATGTCGCGACATTGAAGCGATGCTGAAGCGAAGGTGAAGCTGAAGTGAAGCCAAAGCTTCCGCGAGAACTGTACTGTATCTATGTACCAAGTTTCATTGAAATGAAATGCTTACTACTTGAAACATCAAAAGCTGAAAATTAATTAATTATGCAAATTAGGTAATTAATATGCACAAATATTTATCCCAAAACAATCAATCTCTGCATAGTCCTTGAGTATCTATATACCAAGTTTCATTGAAATGTGATGATTAGTACTTGAGATATCAGTGGAAAAATCGAAAATTGACGAATCATTATGCAAATTAGGTAATTTTTACCAAAAACTAATCAAAATCAAGCATTAGTTCAGAGCATCCATGTACCAAGTTTCATCAAAATCCAATAAGTGGTTCTTTAGATAACAATGGAACAGTCATGAAACAGCTAAAAATTAAATTTAAATTTAATTAAATGCAAATTAGGTAATTAATATGCATGACATTTTACCAAAATCTAATCAAATCTGCGCATTAGCCCAGAGCATCTATGCACCAAGTTTCATCAAAAACTGATGTATGCTTCTTGAGATATCAGTGGAACAGACAGACACACAGACACACACACACACCCACACACACACACACACACTCACCGCACAAGACTCCCATTTTGTTCTTCGCAGTACATTTTTTTTTACTGATGACCAATATCAAGACATTTATTTGTATTGAGTGTTTAAATTATACCTGCAAGGTTATATTTACCTTTACGGCAACTTTTGTTTCACCTGAGTTGTCACCCATAATATCCAATGCCAAGCCTTCAAATACTTCACCAAATGCACCACTTCCAAGAAAAGTAACAAGCTTTAGTCTCTCTCTTGGAAAAAGTGGCAACTCTACATTTAAGTCAAGATTTCTAGAAAAATAAAAAGCGAAAAAAGCTTGATATTAAATTGATCATATCAAAAAACAGTTTTTATCATAAATTAATTTTTAACATATTTGCCTAAATATAAAATACTCACCCATAATTCCAATTACTCTGTCGTATTGTATTATTAGGATAAGCTCTCAGTGTAGCTAATTCTTGATCAGGATCAAAGTGTATAACTACTTCACCATCAAGCTGAGTCTGTTTTTCTTTTCTTTTCTTTACAGCTACAATTTTATGACAACATAAGTACAAAGAATCAGGCAACTGACGAGGTGCAATTTTCAGTCAATATTTTGTTATGAATTTAAATCAAGAATGTCAAATTATGGATAGCTATTATTACTTACCAAGACATATTAATAAGATGATAACAATAATAACCAATGCCACAACAGCAGCAGCTATAATTATAATCAATTCATATGAATCACCTTTAGTAGGCATCTCTGAAATTAAGAATATGCACAATAGATAATTAATGCATAATTATTACATATACTGTATCAAGTCACACATCATGACATATATTGTATCAAGTCACACATCATCATGACATATACTGTATCAAGTCACTCATCATCATGACATATACTGTATCAAGTCACACATCATCATGACATATACTGTATCAAGTCACACATCATGACATATATTGTATCAAGTCACACATCATCATGACATATACTGTATCAAGTCACACATCATCATGACATATACTGTATCAAGTCACACATGACATATACTGTATCAAGTCACTCATCATCATGACATATACTGTATCAAGTCACACATCATCATGACATATACTGTATCAAGTCACACATCATGACATATATTGTATCAAGTCACACATCATCATGACATATACTGTATCAAGTCACACATCATCATGACATATACTGTATCAAGTCACACATCATCATGACATATACTGTATCAAGTCACACATCATGACATATATTGTATCAAGTCACACATCATCATGACATATACTGTATGAAGTCACACATCATCATGACATATACTGTATCAAGTCACACATCATCATGACATATACTGTATCAAGTCACACATCATCATGACATATACTGTATCAAGTCACACATCATCAT